ATGCCACAAGACCTCAATTCTCTCACAGAAGCTCTGAAGGAGTTATCTTCCACAACTGCCGATTTGAAGACTACTATAGTAACCCTTCAGAGCTCTGTCCTTCAGAAGGATGATCTAGCAGAAGCCTTTCAAGCAATGACGCTCAATCCATCCTCTATCAAGACGTTGAAGACTGAACTCACAGAGCCGGCCGCTCAATTCACAGCCGATTTCGTCTCTACGGGCTACGTGGATTACTCTTCATTCAGAGACGAAATCAAGCAGATGTTCTCCTCTGCGGTCACTTACGGCCTCGACACCAAGACCTCAAGGGCCAACATCAATCATCTGGCAACTCGCAGAGAGCTAGATGCTATGGTGGAAGCCCTAGGGGATGTTGTGACCAAGAACATCGCTCAACTTCTTAAAGAGGCCCGTGCCTCCAATACAGCAATCAGAGGCTGCACATCACAACTCGTGAAATAGGGTGACCTCCTTAGAAGCGAGATATACAGAAGCATCTCCAAGCTGAAGTGGTCAACAGAGATAGACATCAATCACGCCTCCGAACTTGCAAATGAAGCCATCAAGAAGATGAAGAAGGCCGCCATCAAAATTTTGCAGAGGTTGGAAAAGGTTCCCCTGACTACATGCAAGGCAGACGGCATACCGAGCCATGACGATCATGAAGGTGATGATGATCGCCATGAGGGGGAGAAGGAGGAAAAGAAAGCTTCAGAACCAAAGAAGAAGACTCCTGCCAGAGGTGTCAAAATAGTGGAATCTACAGCCAACCTGTTCTCAAAGGGAAAGGCTCCAGAGCCTAGTGGCAAAGGAAAAGGCAAGGCTGTAGAGGAACCACAAAAGGGGTCGTCGTCGAGCACATAGACTCCAGAAGAAATCAACGTAGAAAAATATCGAGACGACCCTGCACTCATAAAAGCTCTTCAAGAATCCCTGGCAGAGTCACAARCTAAGAAGGGCAGATGTCCTATTCCAATGCACCACAGAGAAGGAGAAGCCACATCTTCCTTATTCCCACAAGTCCAAACAACGTCCACGGGTACGTTTGATGCTCTGCAAGGAACCGTCAAGCCAATCCTTGYAGAGGGATCAACCCAGAGGCCAATATTGGAAGAAGAAGAGTTCAAGATGCCAGAGGCTTCCACAGCAGATAGGGTATCTGAAATACTTGAGTCCATGAGCAGGATTCCAATACCTGAAGTCAAAACAGTGCCTGTTACATCTTTGGAAGAAGTTCTGGTGTGGAAGTACTCTGCGGTAGACACAGAGCCCCCATATGATCCAGAACTTACAGGGATCCCCTCT